AGATGTACACAGGAATTGCCTAATTCATGGAAAGGCCTCTTGGTAGCCATGGCACCAGTCAGCTGACAGAGGGAATGCCTGCTGTTTACAGAGGAGAGTAAATTGAAGGACTAGTTGTTAATGCATCTGGGCTCTGGAATTCATGGGAAACACACTTCGTGGCAGTGAAGCAGCAGGATGCAGGCATGAGATAAGGACTTAGGAAACCTGGGCTCAATTTCACATGAAACTCAGGCTAGTCTCGTAAACTCTCTAGCTACGACATAGGTTCCCAAGCCATAAAACAGGGGCAAACAGCCATTTCCTAGCGGGGTACCCAAACGTTCCCTGCTGGTTTGGATTATCTGTGATAATGCTCCTTTAGATGGCATGGGTAATTAGGAGCTCACCATGTTGTATATAAACATCAGAACACTGTTAAAACAGGGAAAACTCCAGATAGTATAAAGGAATGCTAGATGTAGAACAAAACAACAGATCTCCCCACCTCCAGACAAACACACACTGATGACTAGAACGCAGAAATACCTTTCAAATCCAGTAGGGATGAAAGAGGTGGCACAAACATCTAAGCACTCCACTACTAGCTGAAAGGTTGGCAGTTTGAACTCACCCAGAGGCAGCTCGGAAGACAGGCCTGGTGATCTGCTTCTGAAAGTCACATCCTTGAAAATCCTGTGGGGCACAGTTCTACTCTATACATGGGGTCACTATGAGTTGGAATTGACTCCATGGCAACTAACAACAACAACAATAGGGATGAAAGGGAAGGGATGGCAATATCAACCTGAAAGGTTTTGTTACAAATACCAAGGAAGAGACCAACTCAAAAGAATGGTTCTTCTAGATCATACAACATACCTCAAAGAAAGAAAACAGAAAGTCAAATATTATACCCAAATCTAGATATCCAGGGGAAAAAAAAGCTTTTCTTTAACACTGCTAGGTATGTCATTTTAAAAAGCTGACATTCTCGTAAAGTAGGCTAAATACAGTTTAGCCACTAACAGGCTAGCGACCTTGGGCAAGTCACTTATCAATTTCTTTATTTGCTGTACACAGACAATAATACAGACCCTGGGAGAAGATGCTTTGGAAAGTAAAAAGCAGTGCACCAAGGCTAGGCAAGGGCTTTTACCAGGCAGGGCATACCTCTGAGAAATCAGCTTGTGGTTGTTGAAGCCATAAAGGGTTGGACTCCAGTTTTGTGTGAGTGTTAGGTGTTGTGTAAATGTCCTAGTCAATTCAAGAGGCCTTTGGCAAAGGGAAAGTACATACTGCCCAGCAAGCTACGTGCTTTATGTCTCCCCAAGGCAGGAAGTGAGCCTGCCAAGGGCTGCAGCATATCTCAGGGCTGACCCAATGTTCTGTTTCCCTCTCAACACGTAGAGCTTGAGAAGAACAGCTTGAAATACAAACGGGGCACTCTGCTCAGCTAAGGAAAACAGTCTCAAATCTTTCTGACATCTGCACAAAAGGGGTACTGAGGGGCTGTCCTGCAGGGTCAATAGTGCTGGGGCCAGTTTAAACAATTCTGCTTGGCCCTGGGAATGCTGGAGGGAAGGGAAAATGACTAACCAGGGCCTGGCAGGGCAGGCAACTTCAAGCATCCATGTTCGCAGTTTGCCCCATGCGCACTGGCCTCTTTATCTATTTGGGAAACAGGACATTCCTGCTCTTGACTCATGAAATATAGCTTAGTCTGGTTCAATAAACTTGAAATACATCCTCAGGAACTTCAGGTTTACAAATAAGTTCTTAGGAACATGTTTAACTATGTGGACTCTGGGCCTTTTACATACTGATCAAAAAAATCTATGCAGTGATATTCTATCTTCCTCCATCCTACACCCCTTCAACCACTGAGATGTTTTCAAAGGAGAAGCAGGACCAGGGCTCCAGATGTTTGGAACCAAAATGAGGACTTCTCATGGAGGGAATCCACTGCCCTCCATCTTCAAAAGATAAAAATCTCAGCCAGGGGTTAAATAAGGAGGTCATCGTAGGTATGTCTGTATTGGTGTAAGACTGACCTCAGCTCACATATATAATAAGATTTTCTACTTTTAAAGGCTCCCAACCCAACAAACAGTCCAGTGCTTCTTCTTATTTCCCTGGCTGTCGGGTCTAATCAACTGCCTCCCACTCCCCATAACCCATTAGGAAATGCCCCTTTGTGTCAAACTTCAACTATCATCTGCTTCCACTCAAGCCATTTCATTTGCTGGATCTTTGCAGAGGTTCAAAAGAATGACTCTTCCTCAGAGTCAACTATTGGATGTGGGCCCAGGAGACCCTGAGAGTCACTTACAGGTACTGGCAGAGACCAGAATTCAAATGGCAGAGAGGAGAATGGAGGAAGACCCAGAGAGCCTGACACATTCACTCTTTTAATAGCTACAGAGGGACAACTAAGGTAGAAAAGTATCTCCTCTCAGAAGAGGGGCAGCCGAAAAGAGGAAGCCCCTCAACAAGATGGATTGACACAGTGGTTGCAACAGTTGGCGCAAACATAGTAATGATCATGAGGATGGTGCAGGACGGGGCAGTATTTCGTTCTGTTGTACATAGGGTCACTATGAGTCAGAACCGACCTGACGGCACCTAACAACAACAACAACAACAGTTAATCCAGCATTTATAAAGAGCAACTATAAAACAGTAAGAATAATCCCTTAGAAATATGGGTAGAGGATATATTCTGGTAATTCACAGAAGAAATACACATGTCCAAAGAATATATGAAAATATGCTTGAACTCACACGTAGTCAGGAAATTGGGATGATTTTCACTCATCAGATTAGCAAAAATATGAAGAGTTGACAAGACTGTAGAAACATGGGCACTTTGGTACAATGCTGGTGGGAGTGTAAGACGGAACAGATACTTTGGCGTGCAATTTGGCAGTAGCTTTTAAAATTAAAAATGTCTATTACCCTAGTGGAGCCCTGGTGGCATAGTGGTTAAGAGCTCGGCTGCTAACCTAAAGGCTGGCCATTCAAATCTACCAGCAGCTCCTTGGAAACCCTATGGGGCAGTTCTACTCTGTCGTATAGAGTCACTATGAGTTTATGAGTTGGAATCGACTTGACAGCAATGGGTTTTTTTATTACCTTAAAACCTGTAACCTATTGCCGTCGAGTTGATTCCAACTCCTAGCTACCCTATGTACAACAGAACCAAACACTGCCCAGTCCTGCGCCATCCTCACAATCACTATGCTTGAGCCCACTGTTGGCGCCACTGCGTCAATCCATCTCGTTGAAGGTCTTCCTCTTTTCTGCTGACCCTTTTCTGTAAGGAGAGACTTTTCTACCTTAGTTATCCCTCTGTCCCTATTAAAAGAGTATGTCAGGCTCTCTGACTCTTCCTCCATTCTCCTCTCTGGCTATGAGTTTATCACCCTAGTATCTGGTAATTCTAAACCTTAGTATCTATGCTAAAGATGAGCACAAGGAGGCCTGTTCAAGGATTTCTACTGTAGTATTGCTATTTTATAAACATGCAAAAATCTGGCAACAACCTAAGTGTTCATCAAAAGGGAAATTGCTGAATTCAACTATGATGAAAAGATCTTCAGAACATATTAAGATGGGTGGGGGAAGTCATGAAATATATGTTTATGATTCTATTTTAGAAAAGAAAACCAGAAAATGAAACTATTTTTGTACATAAGTGGACATGTCTCTGATATGCATGGAAAAATACCAGAAAGACAACAGACGGACTTAGAGAACATCAAAGGAAATTTTTGCTTTGTCTATACTGCTTGTATATTGTTTAAGAATGTATTCATATATTTATTGTAGACTTATTTTTTTCTAAGATATTTCCTGGTTGTAGATGAGAGGCAAGGGCATGGGCTTTGGTGGCTACATTGAACATGGCTTCCCGGGAAGGCTTCCCTGGAACACCTTCCTTTCTTGATATTTTATGATTCTCTAATTCTGTGTCTTTTCTCTTTTGATGAGGAGATGGATTTTTATTCTCTTCCCTCAAATTCTGGTATAGTTTGACATTTCACTTTATTCTAAGTGAGAGATAATGAAAGAGAAAGTGGAGCGGTCACTCTGTTCTCTGTTTGGCTATGTTTATAGGAAGGTTTGGTTGACCTATTTATGCCACTTTCCTTTGACAGTGTAAGCTCTTAGGCTTGTTTGTATGTGATGAGAGTGCAAACAGTGCTGAAAGTCAGAAGATCTGAATTCTACAGGGTAGCCACAAATTCTGAAAACAGATATTTTCTTTTTTTAGATTAAACCCCCATGGATACTTCTTCTGGGTTATGCAAAAGCGTCTGGTTTATTAAGTGAAAATCAGAAAGGCAAATCACCTGGGGTGATTATATGAGGATTGCTGGAAAAGCTGCATCAATGCACTGTGTTCACTGCAATTTTGCACAACAATTTGAACTATGCATTAATAATGAGCGGTAATACATTGAATATATCACACAATGTTATTAAAGATATCACATGTCTTAATGTAATATCTATAAACCATTCTTCATGTCTATATATTCAGACTTCATGATTTCTCTGTACTCTTGACTCTATCACTAACAAGCAGGGTGATTTTGGACAAGTCACAACCCCATTTTGCAGATAACAATTGAACCACCTATTTCCCAGAGTGGTAGGGAAGAATCAAGTAGATACAAATGAGTTATGAAAATTTACACATATATATAAGAATATCATAATCTGGTTCTGCAGAACCTAATTGGCTTTTGGAAATACTCCAGATGAAACCTTGAGAAAATCTTGGCATTAAGTCTATAAAGGAAACCTCTTCCTGATCCCTCAGAGACATTGCCTAGCTTAGTTCTGCCTATCTATCATTAGTTAGCAAAGCTCTGTCAGCTGGTCTTCATCACTTTGCTCATTCCATGAGGTCATGAGAGTAAATTCTAAGCAGTCTAAGTCTAAAGAAAACACACACACTTTAGATAACAGCCCCTGTGACAATTTGTCTTTCAACAATGAAAGAAGCTACTTACTCTTGCCCCTTTCTCAGGAAAGCACTTACAGCCCCCACTGCAGTCTTGGCCCCCGCATAGCTTTCCATAGGAATTCTTCTCTCCCTATTAAAAAAAGGAAAAAGTTAGTAAACCATGTGAACCAAGAAGCAGTGTTGCCTCAGGGAACATAACCCTTAGTTATACCTCTCTTAACCAAGCGGCTTAATGATCTCATTTGATGGTGTCATGAGTCACATGAAAGAGAATCTTAAGCTAGAACCCTTTTGAGGTCAGGTCTATACCTTACCAAATAGACAATTTGATCTGGGAACTGTGACTCAGATGCTATTCATTGTTAGAAATTCCAGTCACAACATGGAGGAGAATTTCTTTACAGGGGACTGGAAACAGACCCTAGGTATACCCTGTGTGAAAGCAGGTGTCCAGTGAGTTATGTATTTGCCCTTGTTGAGAGAAAGCAGTAGCTGAAGCAGAGAACTTGAGAGAAATTCAAGTGCTAGACATGTAGTGACAGGTAAAAACGGCCACGCTGTACTCTGCTCTCAGAATTGCGCTCTTCAGGCTCCATTTTTGGCACACCATCCAAACCCTATGGTTAAGCACTGTGCTGCTAACTGAAAGGTTGGCAGTTCGAACCCATCTAGCAGCTGTGAGGCAGAAAGACCTGGCGATCTGCTTCCTTAAAGATTACAGCCAAGAAAATCCTATGGGGGCAGTTCTACTCTGTCACATGAGGCAGCTATGAGTCGAAAATTGACTCGATGGCACCTAAGAACAACAATACACAAATCCGACAGATACCCCTTTAACCAATCACTGTAAAAAAAAAAAAAAAAAATTAGCATAGAGCACTTATGAAAACATCTTGCAGGGGGAGGGCACAGTTGGCAAACAAACGTAGAAGGTGTGCATTATCTGTGTAAAAATATGGTAGATACAAATTCCTAAGGTGGTATTGTGCAGTAGCTCCAAAACTCTCCAGCCTCATTTATCCCTCTCCTCTGCTTCAATATTATTATGATTATTATTACATGCTAAATTTCTACAAGGCCCCGCATGACCTAACACATGCAGACCCTCTCCAACCTCATACTCTCACATATCCCCGCCTCACTCTACTTCAGCCACTGGTGTTCACTCTGTTCTTTGAAAACAACAAGCCTGTTCCTGTCTTAGGGTCTTTGTCCTAGCTATTACTTCTGCCTGGTATGTTCTTCCCCTAGGTTTTTTTTTTAATTGCTGGTCTCTTCATCATCACTTCTCAGAGAGGCCTTTCCTGACCACCCCACCTAAGGCAGCTCCCAGTTACTTTCAATCATATCACTCTGCTATTTTTTCATCATTATTCTGTCTTCCCCCACTAGAGTGTAAGTGCCATGTAAGCAGGGACCTTATTGGTCTTGTCCAAGATTGTATCCCCAACACCTCAAACAGTGGATGGCACTCAGGAATATTTGATGACCACATGAATGGAGCTGGGATTTGAACCCAGGTCTGCTTAGTCTAAAGCCTTGGCCTTAACCCTCATGCTTTTAGTGTTTTCTAAGTCCTCTGCCTACCAGAGCCTCAACTGGAGAACTCAAAAATGAGGAAACTGGCATCTGACCCTATTACCTTGGAAAAAAAACAAAACATAAATTCTAACTATTATCTGTAACAAAAACTTTATCTCTGGGATGAATTTAGTATCATTCAACTTTTTTGTTTAATGTTGGTTTTTTTTCAAGAGAAGGTATATTTATGAGCCGCCCGCACACTTAATCCTCCTTGCCTCTTTGTACTGTGAGCCTTTTCCTAATTTTCAGGGAGCACTGTGAATTTCTTTGATGGTGTCTTATCTCTTTAAACATTCCCACAGCACTTTATCACCACAACACCTCAGTAATAAGGTAGTGATGGCAGAGCTATGACAAAATATTGCTATTTTAGATTCCAAACGCCTTCCTGATATATTTTATCTCTTATATGCCTTTGACATGGTAAGTGCTGTTGTACACTTTCCAGTTTGCCCTCCATTTTACAGTATACAGGACAGGTAAGTTTTCATAAGGGTAAGATCAAGAGCTGCTATGGGAGGAGGAAGCTGGGGGCTGGTGTAGAATAAAGAATAGAGAGATACAGCAATATTAAAGTCAACCTTTGTCTATGCTGTCACCTTTGTCTAATGCTGAGTACCAGATCTCTTGGGATTATGGATGATTTGTATTTGCATTTCTATACATTTCTGTATTTTTCCAAACAGTCTTCAATGAGCATGTATAATTAGTAAGAAGAAAAAAATAATACATATTATTAAATTTTAAAAGTCACCCCCTTCAAAGGAGAGGACTCAATAGGCATTGCCAAAGTTGAAGCGGCATCTGTTGGGAGCTGTGGCTTGGTTCCAAAACACAGTGCCCGTGTGGGTGTCCTGTCAACTTTGTCTATCATGGACTAAAAGTTTCCAGAACTCTAGCATGGAGCAGTTCTACTCTGCACACTTGGGGTCACTATGAGTCGGAATCGGCTCAACTGCAACTAACAACAATATCAGCATGGAGCAAGGAGGCCCAAGGTGGGAAAAAAATCCCCCAAATGGGAGCCGAACAAAAATGTAAGGAGCAGAAGCTAAGGTTTCTTAGGAACTCAGTGTAAGGAGGCAGAGATACCCAGCTGAAAGACAGGAAGCCATCAGTGTCCTCTGACACGGAGGAAAGTAACCAGAGAAGCCTCACTGGCTACAAGGCAGTTTCCTGTAATGCCAGCCCTGGCAGTTCCCCCAGGAGTTTTCAATTACAGTGAGGCGGGAGGAGTGAAGGGAGAGCCTTCCAGGGAAGATGTCAAGACTAGGTCCCGAGGAAGCCTTTTGCCCTATCCTGGCTTGTCTGGAGACATTCCAACCCCTGCTCGACCAGGTCATGTTGTTGGTGTCATTCCCATACTGGAATGCTATCCCTCTTCCTTTCGAAATCCAACCCCTCCTTACACCTGTAAAAAATCAGAACTGGAAACCGGTTGCCATCGAGTTGATTTCGACTTACACTGACTCTATAGGACAGAGTAGAACTGCCCCACAGGGCTTCCAAGGTTGTAATCTTTATGGAAGCAGACTGCCACATCTTCCTCCCGCAGAATGGCTGGTGGGTTCGAACCGCTGACTTTTCAATTAGCAGCGGAGTGCTTAAGTACTGCACTGCTAGGGCTCCTTATGAATGTCCAGAGGCCTTTTAAATGTAGGGCAGGAAGCAGGACAATTCCTAGTCTGCAGAACCTTGATCATTCCCGGCTCCCACCAACCAAGTCCCTCCAATTACTGTGACAATCAAAAGTGCCCTCCTACTTCAAGAGAGAGTAGCAGGGGCGGAGGTCTGGGGACCATGCTTTGAGGGGACATCTAGGTCAACTGGCATAACAAAGTTTATTAAGAAAATATTCTGCATCCTACTTTGGTGAGTGGCATCTGGGGTCTTAAAAGTTAGCGAGTGGCCATCTAAGATGCATCAATTGGTCCCAACCCACCTGTAGTACAGGAGAATGAAGAACACCAAAGTCACAAGAAAGTATTAGCCCAAGAGACAGAAAGGGCCACATAAACCTGAGACTGCATCAGCCTGAGACCAGAAGAACTAGATGGTGCCTGTCTACCACCAATGCCCACCCTGACAGGGAACACAACAGAGAGTCCCTGATGGAGAAGGAGAAAAGTGGGGTGCAGAACTCAAACTCTAGTAAAAAGACCAGACTTAATGGTCTCAGACTGGAGGAACTCCAGAAGACATGGCCCCCGGACTCTCTGTCAACCCAGAACTAAAACCATTCCCGAGGCCAACTCTTCAGACAAAGATTAGACTGGACTATGGGACATAAAATGATACTTGTGAAGAGTATGCTTCTTAGCTCAAGTAGATACATGAGACTAAATGGGCAGCTCCTGTCTGGAGGTGAGATGGGAAGGCAGAGAGGGTCAGGAGCTGGTTGAATGGACACAGGAAATCAGGGGTGGAAAGGAGGAGTGTGCTGTCACAATATAGGAAGGGCAACTAGGCTCACATAACAATGCATGTATAAATTTTTGTATGAGAGACTAACTTGTAAACTTTCACTTAAAGTACAACAATAAAATAAAGAAAAAAAATGTCCTCCCAATTTCCAAAATACCCCCTGGGAATGGGATACTTCTGTTAAGGACCACTAGTCTAATCCAAAGCCCTCATTTTCCAGGTGAGAACACTGAAGGAACTTACTTTGCCTCGGGTCACACAGCTAGTGAGTGAACCCTAGCTCTTCTGATACTAATTCCATGTTCTCTCCACTATCCCATATCTATCAAGGCCTAGTCCAAGTTTCACCTCTTTCATGAATGCTCCAGCTTGCAGTGAAAAGCCACAGCACTCACCATATTCCCCACTTATTGGGCAGGTGTCACACATTGCTGCAGGATAGCACTTGCAATGTTACTTAGGTTGCACAGCTGAGAGCTAGGCTTAGTTAGGCTGATGGTCTGTCTTCTCAATCAGACAGTAATGTCTAGAAGGGGAAAGTCAACCTATATTTACCCCTTTATATACCCCCACAGTGATAAAGGGGCAACCTATGCTCTAGCCACCACCTGTGGCAATACAGCTTAGTTATGTCTATACAGGTCTGCATCCCAGCTCTAATAGTTCTTAGTTTGGTAATCTTAGGTAAGTGACTTAATCTTTCTGATACCTAATTTTCCCACCTGTAAAATGGGGATGGGCAACAGTATGTTGACTATGCTCATTAGGGGTTGATAACGATTAAGATAAAGCATGTAAACACAGTGTATGACTCATAGTAAGCATTCAGTGCCAGCTATCATTATTACATTAATATTAGCTACACAAGACTACTCAGCATTTCTGTAATACTCTGGTTTCTTTCCGGAGCTGATAATCACGTGGTATGCACTGGTGTGGCTGTACCAGTTGTCTATGGCTGGTGTCCATTCTCATTGGTCAGGATGATCATTCTGAGTTGTTGATGTCTAGGAAGAACCAATTGTTAACTATTTTCAATATCACGTCTATCTCACACATCTATCTCTTAGCTGATGCTAGTTCCTTTGCCTAGAATGCCTTCCTAGCCTCCTTTCCCATTAC